CACACACACACATACATACACACACACACACACACACACGCACACACACATACACACACACACACACACACACACGTAGGAGCTCACGTTCCGAGAGCGTACTCAGACAACAGCGGGTGAAACCATTAGTGAACACTGAATGCAGCAATGGACAAACGGAAAGACGGGGGAGCAAAAGAGGGAACAAGCGAAGAAGGAAGAGAACAGAGTAAGGCGATGTGTAACAAGGGCAGGCAGAACGCACTTCACTTCCAATTCACACACACGCGCATAGTGACGGCTACAGCGTGTCAAGAAATGCGTCAATGCCCTGCGCGGCGTCGGTGATGGCGGGCGCAGAGGAGAGCAGCGCCCGTAACGACAGAAGGCGCGATGCGGCGTTGTGGCGGTGGTGTAATGCACGCGGCTGGTGGTGGACGATGGTTGGTGTTGGGAAGGGGGACCCGTGTTAGAGGAGGCGGCTGTGGACGCCGCCGAGCCAGGCGCGATGTGCGGACACACACACACACACACACACACACACACACACACACACACACACCCCCCCCCCCCACACAGACAGACACAGACACAGACACAGACACAGACAGACAGACAGACAGACACACACACACACACACACATTGCATCTTACCTTTGCGTCTTTGTTGCGTAACGCATGTGCGTGTACGCGTTCGCACTTTGTCAAGTATTCGTGCGCGTCCTCTGCCACCTGCAGCGGTCAAGATGCGAGGGTGTAGCGATGAGCGCGAGATGGGTCGCTGAGGGTACCGTGCTGGTCAATGTCACTGCAGGCCATGCACTACACGCACGCATACACGCATGTACAGACAGACACGTACACAAACACAAACACAGTCCACGTTGTGCTTGACCTTTCTGAGCCGGGTTGTATGTTCGTGCTTGGTGCGCATATGCTCAACATCAACTGCAAGCTGTGCGCTCTCAGACTGGGATTCAAGCAGCATCTGCACGCATGGGGAGAGGGCGAGAAATGGTGTTGACGATGACGATTGTGATCACCCACAAAGGGCGACTGCCAACAACAGCGCGACCAGTGTGTGTGTGTGTGTGTGTGTGTGTGTGTGTGTGTGTGTGTGTGTGTGTGTGTGTGTACCTGTCTCAGTTTGTTTGATTTTGCGTTTGCGCGTCGGAGGGAGCGCTGCACTGCCTTCACCTCCTGCAGCAGCTCAACCTGGCACAGACAACCACACAGTTGCAGTCATGGCAGCAAAAAGGTGGTGGTGGTGGTGGTGTACGAGTGTGCGTGGGAGCGAGCGAGCATGAGTGTATGTATGTATGTATGTATGTATGTGTGAGTGAGCGAGTGAGTGTGCATACACGTGCATGGATGCGTAGACCACACTGTAATGTGAGCAACCACAACACGTCTTCGTACCATGTCGAGTGCGTGGTATCTGAACTCGTCTGCAATCTCCGCCAGCGCCCCGCGGACAACAGGCGACAGCGTGCTGTCCCTACAGCGCCGCCACAACACGCAGCCATCGTGGTGGTGGTGGTGGTGATGATGATGATGATGACGACGGGAGAGGTCAGCTGCTTACAATCACCGGTACACACACACACACACACACACAGATGCAGAGCCAAAGCCACAGCTACAGACACACACACACACACACACAGCAACAGCCTTCCACTTTAAGTTGGGCGTACTCGATGTCGGCGATGCAGCGGTCAACGGTGGCGATGGCCAGGTCGATATCCGTCGCCGTCGTCACAGATCGCAGTGCCGACGCGTCCAGGGAATACAGGCGCAGCACGTCTGCACAGCAACCGGCAAGTTGTATGTGAGGTTGTGTTTGTGTGTGAGAGAGAGAGAGAGTGTGTGTGATGAGGGGTCCGAGTTTGATGGACTGACACACAGCTACACACACACACACACACACACAGCCACACACACCCACACCCACACCCACACGCACACACACACACACACACATACACGTACTTTCTGGGTTGTAGTCTGGATCCCTTCTTATCTTTGTTTTGCGCTTTGATGCTGCTCCCTTCCCACTTCTTGCTGCTCCGCCCTTCGTTGTTGTCCTCGCCTGCTGTCGTTTCGCTGCTGCTGTTCTCGCCGTTGCCGCCTTCTGCGTCTTCTTCGTTGCAACGCCTTTTCGGGCGGTCACCTTCCTCGACGCCGATGCTGGCGCTGGTTGCTTCCGGCCGCCGGCACGTGTGCGCGTCGCTGATGACGACGATGGTGTTGATGATGTCGTGGACGCAGCGCCGCCCGTCTTCCTTCCTCGCGTCCGCCGTGACGCCGACGACGACGACGACGACGACGCCGCTGCTGCTGCTCGCCCTCGCCCTCGTCGTGATGATGATGTTGATGACGATGATGAGCCGCTGCCGGGAATCGATTTTCGCGCCGTCATTTTCGTCCGGCGCACCGATGATGACGAGGACGACGACGAGGGGGGTGCTCGCTTGCGACTGCTGCTACTCGCCTGTACATCACGGCGTGAGACAATGGTGAATGCAAAGGAAAAGCAAGGCGAGGAAGCAAGATGAGGAGGTAAGCGGGACGTGCATGCGCGGTTTGCGTGGAGTTGATGCAGGGCGAAGCAACACGCTCACTTTGGCCGAGGAAGCGGCTCGCTTTGCAGACGGCTGCACATACGAGATACCGGACTGTGGTGTGGCGGTCATCATCATGCTCTGTGGTGTTTCGAACTGTGGTGCTGTGGTATTGAGCGAGAGCGGCATGCATGGTGTTAGGGGGGGGGGGGGGTTGTCACATTCAAGTAGGATTTGAGCGTCAGGGCGACAGGGCAGGCATGGTGGCGACAGCACAATGGCATGGTTTCAGCATCAACATTCGCACAGCGGTTGCAAGCTGGTGGCACGCAGAGCAGGAAAATGGAAACGCACTCCTTGCTGTGGATGCCGGTGTCTTCGCTGTGCTGGTTTTCTTGTTGCCTGTGGACGGTGGCTGCGGCGACGCCGTTCTTCGCGGCTTGACAAATCGCCTGTTCACGTTGTGCGTTCCAGCAGGCGTGTGGAAGATCATAGGCCGCTGCTTCGTTTGTTTGCTGCATGTTCGTGTTGTTGTTGTTGTTGTTGTTGTGTGTGTGTGAGCGAGTGAGTGCGTGATTGTGAGTACGTGATTGTGAGTGAGTGAGTGAGTGAGTGAGTGAGTGAGTGAGTGAGTGAGTGAGTGAGTGAGTGAGTGAGTGAGTGTGTGTGTTTGTGCTTGTGAGTGAGTGAGTGAGTGAGTGAGTGTGTGTGTGTGTGTGTGTTTGTGCTTGTGAGTGCGTGAGTGAGTGAGTGAGTGAGTGAGTGTGTCCGCGCTCAACGGCAAGTAAACCATGTGCCAGCCAACTGTTGTGCACACAGCACCAACGACATGCATCTCAACGCACTTGGTTGGCCTTCGACGCATGTCTGCGTCTTGGCTGTTGATGAGGGATCCGGGCTTCTTCTTGTCCATCTTGCTTGGCAGCAGTGTGTGTCTGCCAGCGTCCGGGCAGTGCAAGTTGCAGTTGAAGCTGCAGTTGAGGTGGTGGTGGTGTTGTGCTTCGCTCAGCTCGCTCCTGCAACGGTCTTGGGGTTTTGAAAATTAATAGAAATCATTCATCACATTTCCACAATCGCAGGCACAAATCGAAGGTGAGGACGGAGTGGGTTGCACGTTGTTGTGCATGTGCTTGTATCTGTGTGCTTGTGTGTGTGTGTGTGTGTGTGTGTGTGTGTGTGTGTGTGTGTGCTTGTATCTGTGTGCTTGTGTGTGTGTGTGTGTGCTTGCATCTGTGCTGTCTCTCTTGCTCTCTCTTTGCGTGCATACGTGCAGGAGGTTCTTCGTGCTTCCACCTGTCCGTCACATCACTCACTTCACGTCACACACCCACACACACTCTCTCTGACACTCTGACACTCTGACTCTCTGACTCTCTGACTCTCTCACTCTCTCACTCTCTCACACACACACTCGCACACACGCAGACACACGGTCTGAACAGAGCTGGCATCATCCCCATCATCTCCATTTTCACAGCGACAGCCCACAGACACGATGGCCGACCAGAACAAGCTTGAGCAAGTGTTCGAGGAGCACTACAACGTGTTTGAGCGCAAGCTGCGCCAGCAGCAGCGCGCGGAGTTCCTCTGCTGTGCCACATGCTCCGAGAACCCCAACATGAGCGCCAAGGATTACAACGAGTGCCTGCAGAAGTGCAAGGCCCCGCTCACCGCGTTCTCCGAGGTCATGCAGAAGGAGATCGGCAACTTCCAGGTGTGCGCATGTGCGCGCGTGTGTGTTTGTTTGGCTGTTCTGTGGCAAGTTGCCCTTCCCTTCTCTCCCACGCTTACCTCCTTCTCCACGTGACACTCTTTGCCCTGCAACGCACGTGCTCAACTCGCAATTGCGCGCAATGCAGGAGCGGTACATGCGCTGCGCGCGCGACTGCGAGGACCGCATCCGTGATCGCATCACCCCGGATATGCAGTCGCTGCCGCCGCATCTGGAGGAGGAGCTCAAGGCGTGTGCCAGCAAGTGCTCGTCATCGCACGCCGCACTTGTGCCGGGCCTCTTCAAGAAGCTTGACGAGTACGCCAAGCACTTTGCATCGAAACAGTAACCGTAGGCTCACAACTTCCCAACTCGACAGTGTGTGTGTGTGTAGGTGTGTGTGTGTGTCAGTTGGTAGCGTGGATTGTGTCTGCATCTAGCGCGCATGTGTCAAACTAGTGTGTGCGTATAACTTGCGTGTATTTGGTGCGCCACACCGACCATGTTGCTGGTGTTCATCCGTGCGGACACGAGACTCGTCACATCCACCCCCTTGATCAGAGATTGTGGTCGTGCGGTGTATATGCGTATGCTAGCCAGATATGTGTGTGTGTGTGTGTTTCATGCTATGGCACCGTGCTTGTGTGCGTGTCGATATAGTGGCAGCTGTTGTGCGTCGTGCAATCACAGCACGTACGCACGTGTGCACAGGCCATAAACAACCTCCATAGCCTTGCCTCATTCA